GTTTTGTTTTGTTTTTTTGTTTTGTTTTTTTTTGTTTTTTTTTAATAGAGGTTGCCAATACCTACATACAATGCCTGTGGAAAACCACCAGTTTCACTTTGTCGTACAACTTGATGGTCTAAGTGTAAACTCCTTCTAGTGCAAAGTAGTAATAGACCCATCAGTGTTTTCCATTTACAGTAAGTTCAAAAATGTGTAATTGCAAACGAATTGTACAAATACCTATGGACTTGCCAAGTAGAAATTTACAGACTCAAACCTTTAAGGCATAAATGAATGGACAGTGTTTCTTTTTCCAAAGTGTGGGTTACATAACATTTGCATAGCTCGCTGGCACATCCATGCACTATTCATTGCAACGCTCTCCCAAGGCAGCAGGAGACAGGTAACTGAGTGAGCATTCACTGTGGATCAGATTCTGTCCTTGCCATGCTTTGCTCTGGAAACCATCCTGTGAACACAGCTCGATAGAGAGAAGTGGGTGAGACACTAAGGCAAGGGCCCTTTTACGCACCTCTCCTTGGTGTCAACAGCGAAGTTCTTTAGGGCTGCCGCCTATGGGAGCTACAGGCCGTCTGTGCACAGTTCCCAGGCTCTTCCTTCTAAATACTGCATCTAGCAGTAGATCTAAGCACTGCATAGAACACATTAAAGACATGCATGCTTTGACTGAACACAGAGTTGTAGGTCTTCCCAAACACACACGAAGTGGTAATTTTCAAACCCTGTAAAGTAAGATTTGACTTCGTGGTAAGTGGAAGGTAAACAGAAATCCCCACACAGAGCTCAGTCTAACAACACATCAATGGTTTCATTCAGACACAGACGAAAAATGTGGCTTTATAACCTACTTTGATTTATTGTCTATCTCTGATGTTTCTTTGTACTTTTGTACTTTATAATTTTGTTGAATCTTGAACATACTTACCCTGAATCATGGCACAAAAAGAGATTTCTAAAGTATAGTGAAACTGGATTGATTTCATATTGATTACACATTTCATGTTTGTGAGTATTTGTATTTACAGGGACAACTCTTTAAGCTTCTTAAGGATCAGGCATGACAAGCCTGATGATGGATGCAATAGCCTTCTAATCCTGAAACACTTAGATGGGGTATAAAAAAGGAAATGAATGTAGAATGCAGGACCCCCTTAGGAAACACTGTGCAAATTCAGTGTTCTTATCAGTCAATAAATGTAAAATACCTTGCACAAATGTGCAAACATGAAGAGTCTCAACTTATGTTATTGATCACATCACAACTTAACTGCATATTACCCAAATAGTTTTCAAGTTCTTGTCTTTTAAATTGTATTAATTAGCATAATTATTGGTTCATATTTAGATTCCTGCTTTCACCAGTGATTAAATAACCCTTAGATTCATAAGCTACACACTGTCCCTAATGTTAATAAAGATGTACTTGGCATTTACACGCAATTTTCTCAGAATTTCACAGGTCAGGCATTTTGACATTTCTAGGAAACCTTATCACATGACTGTTAAAAACACCCTGAAGTGTGGACAAACACACTTATATATATATTTAAGTTACTCATATAGGAACACAAAGGAGCAGTACCTACATTACTAGAAAAGTAGCATCCCATCATTTGTTGTTGTGGTATTTCACTCTATGGATAAAATTCCAAATCAGAGATACTTGTGTCTTCTTTGATGCAGAGCACTTTCTCTGCAATCCACAGATTACTTCTCTGTAGTTTTGCCCACAGCAGACTTGCCAGTTTCTGTGCTGATGGCAGGCCACTGCAGTAAACAGGTCACTTTGGAAACAAAATAAAGGTAACCCTGAGGGACTTGGTAAAGGGAAGCCTACATTTCTGCTCCCAAAAGCTTCTCATACATTGTTTTATGCCTCTATACCAAGAGCCAATAAACATTGCTTGCTAATACAAGCTGCTCTGAACTAACTGAAAAGAGCTGTTTTCATTAATTAACAGCAGCTGGTGACCATGTTTAAAACTGCACTGCCTGGTGCACTTCAGCATCAAATACAAGCTTGTAATGTATGCTGAAAAATGAAGCTGCCCCTTCTTACAGCCCCCTCAAACCAATTTTCACCATTTAATGCTACTGAGCTATGATGTCTAAGAAATGTACCCTTTGATATCTGTGCGCCTTGGGTACCTCCAGGAGAACTGTGTTTCATAGAACTGGCATCTGCAGATGGAGCTAGCTGTCAAAACTCTGTGTGTCCTTAACATTAGGACTCTGACAGTAGAAAAGCATGCTCTCTCTGGTGGAGTCAGGAGAGCAGGCAATAGGAAGCAGCTCTTAAGCACTGCTTAAAATTACTTGCCCCCTTCCAATTTGTCCTTCTTCCAGGACCAAGGTTTTTAGGTTGCATTTAGAACCTTTCATTACACTGTCTAAACACCTTAGATAATGCTAATATTTTATCCCAATACCATTATCTCATCCAGGTCTTTCAAATCTCACCTGAAATAATATAAATAACGTCCTCAGACTGGGAGAAGACAGCAATATAGAAGTGTTGATACAGCATATCATCCCAAAGCAGTATATTGAGAATCAGCATTCTTTCTCATAGTCCAAATAAGAAGACAAACTAGTTTCAAACTATTTTTTTGAATTTCCCTTTAAAACATATCTGATTTTTTTTTCAAATTGGTCCCCTCCTTCTCCCAAATTATGGCTTTGCAGATTTTTTCTGCAGTCTTCTTAACCCATATTGTCTCAGTCTTATCTGGGAGACGCAACAACCAATTATTAAACTGTTGATGGCATACTGAAACTACTCCATAAAGCTGTAAATCAAAAAGATACTATGAAGGGCAGAGAAGGTTTCAAAAAACACAATCAAGATAAGTTATCATAGCTGTTGAAGTTCTGCCAGAGGAACCTGTGACAAAATTAAATTTACCTGCACCAAGTATATAAATTCCTAAAATACTGGATTTGGTTTATGTTTAAGGATCTGTCAGCTACTAAAGTGGTATGACTTCACTAAAAGGATCAATGAAACCATTATCTTCTATTTCTCCTCAAGATGAAGATGCATCTAATGTGGTATGTGTGGAATATCAACATACGTAATTCAGTTAGGCAAATCATCTCTATTGGGTAAATACATCCCTCTTTACAAAATGACGATCTAATTTATCATCACAACCTGAAGCACAGCCTTTGGATGTCTTCTGTCACAATTCTGAATTAATCCAAACCTATTCATCTTACAGGAAGTAGTTTGTTGTCTTCAAACATCTGTCGTGCCATTTGTGTAGCCCATGGCCCAATTATATTTTTGTCTCCTTATTGTGTGTTAACAATAAGCTTGTCTAATTACATATTGTTGGTAAATAATTTACATTTTCCCTTTTAAAATGACCACCATCTGTGATTGCACCAGCTTTAAAAAAAAAGCTTTAAAATAAGGAATTTGCATCTCTCTTGCCTAAATTGGGCGGTGATTAATATACACTCCCCAGACTCTCCTTTTGTACACAGCATATAAATTGTAATATTTCCTAATATCTTTATCCTACAGATCGCCCAGAGCAGCTGTGGATGCCTCATCCCTGGCAGTGTTCAAGGCCAGGTTGTTTGGGGCTCCGAGCAACCTGATCTAGTGGAAGGTGTCTCTGCCCACAGCAGGGGGATTGACACCTGATGACCTTTAAGGTCCCTTCCAACCCAGTCTGTTCTTTGATTCTAAATATTTTGTAGTATTTGTATTACACGTGTTTCCTGGGTTTGCTACCAATTCCATGGGACTATGTTTTGCATGCATCTTAGATGAACAATTCACAGAAGAGTGACACTCTTTTAATTTCCTCTCTTTCACTGTCCCTTTACCTCCCAAAGAGCCATATACCTACAGCTCCTCACAGCAGCCAAGAAACTGCTCTTGGGATAATATGACTTTTAGACAAGTCACCTGCACTGGTTAGTTCCAGCTGCTTTCCTGCAACATACCGCTTGTGTATTCCCGACTCCTGTTGAAGGCAGCGTGGAAACCAGCCTGGCCTCTTCTCAGGCTCCAATATTAAGTCTTAAACTTAAGAATGGAACTCGGGCCACAGCGCACTCGCAGTCCTCAGCGAGTGGGACTGGCCCCTCGGCTCTTTCGAGGGCCGCCTGTGACCCTACATTTTGCAGGAGCAAGGAAGCGACCTCGCTCCTCGGCCGTTCCCTCCCGTTGGCCGCAACCCCCCGCCCGCCGCGGCCCGAGCGAGGCGCGGCCGTTGCAGCGGCGCGGGCCCGCCCAGGGCCGCATCCCGCCCGCGCCGCCGCCGCAGGGATGCGCGCAGGGATTCCCCGCACGGAATCGCGGCAAGGAACGGGCTCCTTGCACCGGCCCCCGCGGGGAGGAGCCGCGCGGGAGTAATACAAAGGAAGCGGGAAGAATGTCACGCTCCTGGGAATTGTTCGTCGCAGGCGCGCGGGAAGCATAGTCACGTAGTAAAAGTAGGATATATGTGTCACACAAATACTACTAAATACTGAAAAGCGTAGAACGGATTGGGTTAGAAGGGAACTTAGAGAACATCTAGCCCCAAGCTACTTGATGCGGGCAGGAACATCTTCCACTAGCTCAGGTTGCTCAGAGCCCCATCCAACCTGGCCTTGAACGCTTCCAGGGATGGGGCACCCACAGCTTCTCTGGGCAACCTGTGCCAGAGGTATTGGGAAACACTACTGTGCACAAAAGGAAAGTCTGGGGAGCATATATTAATCACCGCCCAATTTAGGCAGGATAAGAGGTACGGATTCCTTATTTTAAAGCTTTTTTTAAAAAAAACCAAAAAACGCTACAATTACAGACGGTGCTGGTTTTAACAGGCAAAACGCAGCGTCGCGCCGCTCACACCCCCTGCACCCTCCCCTCAGCGGGAGCGCGCGGCCTGACGTCACTGCAGGCGGGCGGGCGTGACGCGCACCCTCCCCTGCCCTCCCCGCGCCGGCGGGAACGCGGGCGCTGATTGGCCGCCGCCTTCCCGCTTCCTCCTCGCCGCCCGAGAACCCGCCATTTTGAAAACCTTGTTGATTCCGGGAGGGAGGGAAGAGGAAGAAGAAGAGGGAGAGGGCAAGAGTGGCTGCCGCCTGTAGGGCTGCACCGCGGCGGGGCGTGTGTGTGTCGCTGCGCCCGGACCCGCCTCGTCCAGCAGCAACTGCCGCCTTCAGCTGCTGCCGCCGCCGCGCCTAAGGAGGGAGCCGAGGCTCGTGCCGAGGTGGGTCCTGCCGCCATGGCCGTAACGGCGCCCGAGAGCGGTCCCGCCTCGCCGCGCCCGGGCCGAGCGGGGACGGACTGTGACGAGCAGAAACGAAACGCGGCCGCCGCGCCGCCGGGCTCCCGTCCCGCCCCGGGGACGCGCCGTGTGCGGGGCGCTTGTCACCGGCGCTGCCTCCCCCCGGCCCCTGCCCGAGGTGTTCCCTGGGTCCGCCGTGTCCTGCGGCGGGAGCGGGCCGAGCGGTCCTGAGCCCGCCTGGAGCGGGGAGGCGATGGCGCCTTGGCCGCCGGCGCCGCCGAGCGCTGCGCATCGCCGTTCGTTCGCCCCGGTATCCAGCTTACAAATCGGGAAGGGGGGATAGGTGGAAAGTTCCCGTGTGAAAAGCCCCAGCCCAGGGCGGGAGACCCTCTCCCGGTAAAGGTGGATCCCGGAACCCTTTTTCCCTAAGCAAAACGTCGTCCCGTACCCAGGTGGTGGAAAGCTAAGAAGTCTCTTAACTTTCCCCCCCTTCTGTTCCCATTGAAAGGGGAAGAAAAGAGTTTGTAGTGCTTCTCTTGCTTTTACTCATGCCTTCAAGTAACATGAAAATGCCGCACTGCTTACTACAAATGAAATACTGGTAGTAATACCCTGAAGGATGTGTTTCTTCCTGATAATTTAGCCAGGAAACGTTACTTTTCCCCCTGCTATTGGTAATAAGTATTAACTCGTATTTTCTGTCATTTGGCACACGACTGATCTCTGGTACCTACTAATACTGCACGTAAGCAGCAGATGTAAATGTTACTTATTGCACCTGATCTCTTGCAAATAATACTGGCTCTGGTATTGCAAAAAGAAAATGGTTAATTGTGTGAAGTTCTGTTCCAGATCTAAACGGTGAAAATTTTTTAAAGCTGGAGTTTTGAAAAATGAAATATATGGTTATCTTGCTCTATTGGATAGATGTTTTCTGTTAGTAGGGAAATGGTACATGTATAACTAAGATATTTTAGTTTTAAAGTCTACGTATAGGCTACTTCAGATGTTAAGAAAACACTCTTGAATATGCAAAGTATGAAGCATTTATTCTTTTTGTGTTGTAGATCTGAAAATTAAAACCAGGTATTTTAATGCCTAAAGGTGCAGCAGCTGTCTGGGTTATGAAAGCAGTGTTAATTCTTTCCTGAATTGCTTGCAGCCTTTTTTTTTTTTTTTTTAATGTGTCTGTTCCTATTTCCCATCTAAATAAGTAACTTGTTTAAGTTACTAGGAAATTTGTATGCGTAGTTAACCATGATCAAGTTTATAGGAGGGTGCAGTAAAATAGTGATGTCTTAAAACTGCAGTTTTTAATAGATAACATTATCAGCTGCTTTGAGTGGGTGTTCTGAATGGTTCGCAAAAGCAGCTTGAAGACTTGTGTGTGAATAGAATTTTTAACCTTTTAGAGTGTTCTTAACCAGACTAATTGTAGAATGGATGACAACTTCTTCTGAAAAGTTGTACTGTGTGTATGCCAGACACCTTAGTGATTGGAGAATGTGAACAATCACAGTACCAGCACACTGCTTCTGCTGCACAAGGAGATAATTTTTAAAAGCAAGATTCCAGTGGTTTTTATGGATGGTGTTCTATTGATGATGGTTTCCCCTGACTCTTTCTACAGAAGCATACACCATGTCTTCTGTTGATTCATCAAAAGAAGATACAATGTCATCAGAAAAAACAGATGAGAAACAACCTGAAACTGAAAACAAAGCTGAGGAAAGTGATGAAGATGAAGAAGAGGAAGAGGAGGAAGAAGAAGAAGAAGAAAAGGGTACTTTCTTTTTCCATTTAATAAGTTGTTCTTTAATGAATGCCAAGCTATTGAATGCAGTCTCCTGTGATTTTGGCTTATTGTACAATCATTGAGGAGATTCCATGGTGCTTCTGTCTCCTGGGTCATAATAGCTTCCCAGTAGTCTGTAACAGGCAGTGCTAAAAACAGTGGTGCTGATTTGTCTCAGAAAAGATTTAGGGAATTGCCAGCATCCTGGACTTCTGTACTAGGGATTTAATTGTTGATGTATAAATTTTTCAATTATTATAGTAGGTAGTGTCCCTTATCAAATTATTTTTTTGCCAGTAACACTCTGAAGTGGTCTGTGTTTGCAAAAGAGAAACTTCCAAGTGTGCAGTAGTTTTGGAAACAATAGGGATGTCTTTGCTTAATTACAGTGAATTAATTTTCTGGGTATCCAAATGTAACTATATTGGGTCAGCGGAAATTCCTTTAGACTAATTTTGGTAATAAAAAATTACAGCAATATGGTAGGATGAGCAAGCAAGGCAAGTTTCTTGTAGTGGCATGTAATTGAAGGTAGTCAAGGAGAACAAAACAAGATGAAGGAACTACTGTGCAAGAATGTTAATTTCTATTGTGAACTCTCCAGGCATCTATTTTCAAAAGGAAAGCATTCATGGAAGCAGAGCTGTAATGTGGCACAGTGAAAACCAAGTCAGTGATACTCTTGCATCCTTGGAAGAGATGAAGTTTGTCTTTAGGAAAGGTAGTAGAAAGAAGACAGATTATGCTTATGTTTGGAAAACAGCGGAATTAGCATTGGATTTTCAGAAAAAAATTATTTTTGCTCTGGTTTTGATTATGTTCATACAGGTTTTGAAGCTACTATGTTAAAGCCAGGACAGCCCATCTGTTTAGCTCTTAGGATAGTGTTACTTGAGGTCAAGTATTTTAGTATGAACTGTTTAGGTGAAGCTTTAGCTTTTTCTTTGGAGTGGTATCATTAAATGAGTGATGTGCAGAGTGTATGTAAAACGATCTAAAGGTACTCATTAGTAAGCACTAACAGAATTACTGGGAATAATATTCTTGTTGTATTCGTGACACTCGTTATTGTGCCCTGCAGAGTGCTTCTCTGTGTACCCTGGCATGTGTAGTACAGTCCCACTGCACTTGTGCTTCTGCCTCTCCTGCTGAAATGTGTGCTTTCTCCAGTCCAGTAGTGGGAAACAAATTTGTGTGCAGGCATCCCTGACCCTGCTTTTGCCCATCTGGTGGTAGTATTCTTCTTCAGAGTGCTTTGTGTGGAGCTGTGTGCCTACAGACTGCAGCATCCAAGGAGAATGTGTAAACAGGGTCAGTTTTGTACCTGAAAAAGGCAGTGAAAGGAGAGACGGATGGGTTTCTGAAAACGTGTAGTCCTGCAGTTTCATGGTGGTAACTTCCTAAAGTTACCTTTAGGAAATGTGCACAGGTAATGTAAAGTTACCTGTAGTCTTGTCTTCAGGGTTGCCTTGGATACAGGATTGTGGTGAAAAACTAGAGAGACTTTTAGTTATGTGTGTGCAGCTCCATAGAATCACATTGACTTATTAGCCGAAGGTCTGAACGTGTCTTAGTACCTGATTATATCATCATCTGGATTTGATTTGCTGTTTCAAAGAGTCAGTGATGTATTGCCTGTCACTTCAGTCAGATGTGCAATGAAGAATATGGTGTTTAAGGAAGCTTTCTTTTGCAGAGAAGAGTCTCATTGTTGAAGGAAAAAGGGAGAAGAAGAAGGTTGACCGACTGACCATGCAAGTGTCCTCACTGCAGAAGGAACCTTTTACAATTACACCAGGTAAGCTTGACTTCTCACATATGAATTGTGACTGTTAGGAATGATAATGAAAACTCTAAGAAGATGAAATTACTAATTTGTTGTAGGTGAGACCTAGTTTATGAGTCATGATCCTTTTTAAAACAATAAGGCTATTATATGAAAACCATCTTTTATTCTGTAGCATCAGTTTAAACTGTAAAAGTTATATGATATTTGAACTTACTTGGAATGGGATCTTTGGTATCTCATCACTACTATCAAAGGCAGGAGCAGCCAGAATACAAAGAAATGCCAAATCCTGGTACCCTGATCTAGGTAGTGTCAAGTAAGGCAGGTAGAGAGCCTGTCAGGATGCCTAACTGATAGGAAAAGGCCTGCTTAATGTTTGACCTATTATAATGTCTAATGCTGTTTTTAAGTAACTTCTTTGCCTAAAAAAAAAAAAACCCAAAACCAAAACAGTAGAAGCTTTAAGTTATAAACATACAGGTAAATATAGAATGTGATAAAATAGCATAAATGATTTTAATTGTTTCAGGAAAAGGACAAAAACTCTGTGAAATTGAGAGGATACAGTTCTTTCTGAGTAAAAAGAAGACAGATGAACTTAGGAACCTGCACAAACTCCTCTACAACAGGCCAGGCACTGTAAGAATTTTCATCTTGTATATCCATTAGTTCTCATGTATAGTGAAAATGTTTGTAGTACAGTTTTTTACGCTTGCACGTATTGATCTATTTCTTAAGTGTTATTTATTTCAAGCTACTTAGAAAATGGGTATTTGCAGGACCAGTTAAGTAAGTCTCCTCCTTTTAACTCCTACAAAATCTCTTCCTATAAAAATCCTATGGCAGGGTGTACTAAATCAAAAGTCTCTTGAATGTAGATTTGATTTTTTTTTTAATGGGGGAATGGTGGATTACCTTACAAGGATGAGTTGGAAATAATTTATGGTTCACATGCTAAAAGCTGCTGACATGCAGATGATACTCAAAATACTCCATGTATTAATACATTGCTGCTTATCTGCTATTTTTCTCTTTGTACTAAGCAGTAGAAAGATAAAGGTGATAAAAATCACTCTTAAGATTTTATATCTAACAATTTTTTTAAGATAATTAAAATATTGTCCATTTTGTATTTAAGGATGACACTTATAACGGCAAATCTTTCTTGAAGTGGTTTGTGTATCACTGATTGTGCCTAAAATTTATTCTGAAAATGTGAAATTGAGGCAGATTTAAGTGTGCTATAATTATTGGAACTTATTTTAAAATATCTTTGGGTATTTTAGAGACTTGAACAGCTAGCACAGAAACCAGAAATCGAATATTACTAGTACAGATGTGTGCTAGCTCTTAATTCTCAGACCACTGTTTCCGATTTAATGTTTGTTTAAATGGCAGAGAATTATCTTTTGCCACAAGTATTCAGAAAAAGAATATATCAGTATGGTTTCAGTCAAAACTATATTAAATCAGAGTTTTTGGGAACTCAGAATGCTGTTTAATATAGTGAAGGTCAGATCTTGTTTTGTATGCATGTATTTGTATATGCTTTTAGTTGTAATTAACACTTTTAATAAAACATACCAGTATCACCTGCAAATTTTCTTAAGGTTCTGGACAAAGCTCTTTGGAAAAGGAGCTCAGCTTTGGTAAAATTATAAACTAGTGGAGAAACAGCAGAAACAAAATTTTTAGAAGTATTGAAAGCTAGTTGAAATTATTATTGGTAGTGTTATAAAAGTCTCAGAAGATAGAGAGATCTGGGGTTGCTTTTTAACAACTTAACAACTTTTTTTTTTTTTTTTTTGCAAAAGGAAATGAAGTGAAAACAAAACTTAAATACACTTGTGGTCTTGATGGGAGCAATTTTCCCATTTTAAGGGCTGTTGCAATGGAAGTTCAACCCAGATCAGACATCAGGTGTAATGGTAGAAGTTGTAGATTGGGTGGTACGTAAGTGCAAAACTTGGTCCTACTAATAAGAGGTTCAAAATATCGTCATGGTCCTATGTAAGACTTCAGAATAGCTAGTAAAGCAAATCTACTTCAGCAGATTGTAGAATAAAAAATAAAATTCCCTATTTTGTAACAAATGACGTGATACAGGGCATGCAACAAGCTTCATAATGTTATAGTTTTGCAAACGTGTAAATCATCATGCAGTACATTCTAAATGAGCTTGAAATGGCAGGTGGCTTTGTCCAGTAAGTTATTAAAAGTACCACAGTCACAAGAAGTTGAACTTAATTGTTTTAGTTTGTCTGTCATGAGATAAGTAAAGGCATAATCCATGTAGGTTATGATTTAAAAGGTGTAGCTATATCAACAGAAAACAAAATGCTAGAACATATTTTTCTTGTATGAAAGGTTAACAAATGTAATTTGATGAAATCTTTTAAACTGCTTGCAATGAAAAGTAATCGGTGTGCTCTGTTCTAGGTTGCATCCCTAAAGAAGAATGTGGGTCAGTTCAGTGGGTTTCCATTTGAAAAAGGAAGTGACCAATATAAAAAGAAGGAAGAAATGTTAAAAAAGTAATGGTCTCTTGATAGTTAACATAGCTTGATGCATGCTATGCATTTTATTTTTTCTTTTTTTTTCTTCCGCAGTTTTACTTGAGGTTAAAGTTGTACTATAAGCCAGGTGGCTGTTTAGTAGAGCTCTACAATTTTTTTCTGAGTTCATTTTAATCACACAAACTGGTTTCTTAAGACAGCTTAAAATGTATTAAGAGTTATATTGTGAATACTTTATTCACAATTCCTACATTCCTGACTTTAACTATTGCATACTAACTAGCAGATTGTTCTGCCAAGTGAGAGGAAAGCATTATTTCCCATGGCAAGCATAGTGTTGTGAGCACATTGTACTTCATTCATGGTGCAAACCTGCATCCTTCTATGCCTCAAAACCTTCCTCCTTCAGAATCAAAGCCATTTCTGCTTATTAGATATTAAACATACTAGAATTGCTGTAGCAACTAGTCTCAGAATTTTTTCTTTTGTTTTTCATTTTTACTGGCTCCCTTCATAAGTTGCTTTTCCATCAACAAGAGAAGCTGCTGCAACTTGAAAGGGTTTAAAATGCTCTTGCATATTTGTGTAGCTAGTTGTAACAAATGAAAGAACTAATAACATCTACACAATATACTATAAAACTTGGGAGTTTTTTTAGTGCCTGTTTGCTGATAGTGGAAAGGCTTCCAGAATCTGGAATGTCCAAATTTTTTTTTCTTCAGATTTGCAGTTTTACAGGAGTGTGGTTTGTCAAACATGTGGGAATCTACAAGGCAAACTCTATCTCCCAAATCTCCCAACGGTAGTTTTGACCGTTTGTTTCCCAAAGGTTTAATTGGCTAATTCCCCTTACCAAAAAAAGGCTGCAAAATAATGTAATTTTGCACTATTTTTTTTTATATTTTCCATATGAAACAATGGCTAGCAGCAAATATTCTGAAACCTGGTTGCTTTGGGTTGCATATGAAAGTGCAGAGCCCTTTGTGCTTGCCTTACTGTGGTAGCTTCTGCTGCTCTTTGTAGCTGTGTGGAACACAAACTGTTGATTGGTTTCTTAATTTGTTTTGCCTCTGTGGTTGATTTCTGCCCAGTCTTTACCCTTGCATGTCATATTTTAACAGCATTGAACAAGATGAACAAAGGTCAAGATCTATTTTGCAAAACCTTACTATTCAGGCTATAGATCATAAAGAATGTAATACTTTTTTTACTATGATTCCCTAACTTTTTAAAAATATTCTGTTATACAGACATACGGTTTGGGGAATTCTATTTTATTTTGCTTTATGTAATATAGTTGCTTAACCTTAGATAAGACTGGAAGTGTAGTTGACTGTGTATATATATTGCCAGGTGCAGACACAATCCAGACAGCAGCTTCTAGCAGTCAGATGTCAATTGTTTAGTATGTGATACTGAATCTCTTCTTTTTTTTTTTTTCTTTTTTTTTTTTTTTCTCCCTACAGATTTAGAAATGCAATGTTGAAAAGCATCTGTGAAGTTCTTGACTTGGAAAGATCGGGAGTCAATAGTGAGCTTGTAACCAGAATATTAAACTTCCTTATGCATCCAAAATCTTCGGGCAAGGTGAGATACAAGTTGTTACGTTTGCTTTTATAGCTCTGTTCTGACGGAAAATGCATCTGTTCTCTATTGCTCATTGTATGCTTGTTTCCAGTGATAATACAATTTCTGTTCTAACTTAATGAAGTAGGAATGACTTCTTGAAAGAGAGTAGTTCTACTGCTGCAGGCATCCGTAATGGGGTGAGGCCTTAAGTGGAAATTCTGTTTACTTGTGGGTGTACCCATTACATACTGATAGTGCACAGAAGTGTGAGTTCAACACATGGAGCTAATTAGGATATCCCGTCCCAAATACCAATTAACCTCTGCTTTGTGGGTGGAGGAGAATAGATACATGAAAGGACACGAAAATCAAGCTTCAGATGTTACCTGTGTTTGCTGTATTTGGCAAATGTATGTTATCACATTTGGATGTCACCAAATGGAATTTGTTGCAGGTACAAAATCCGTGCAGTAGATTCAGGGTACCACTGCCAAGACTGCTAAACTCTGTTGTTAATCTTCTTGGACTTCCAATTTTTAATCTAAAAGTAATACTAAAATAGTTGCACTGTTGCTCAGGAAACTAAATCTATTCCCAGCAAACCCTGGGAAGTGATGTGAATAAGGGGTCGGCATGCTGCTTTTCCAGGTGCAGTGTTAGGGCAAAATGCAGGTTTGCATAAGATGTAACAAAATTCTTACCTTTGTCTTCTGAGTTGTTACCAAAAGAAAAGGCTTATTTTATGGATTGGTAGGTAAAAGAACAATCTAGAAGTAACTTTCTTGCTTCCCTTCTCTAACACCCAGTTTTTGAAGATTTGTTTGGTTAAGGAAGGGGTGCACTTAGCCTAGAATTGAAATTTCATTTTGCCCAACTCTGTCTCAGTAGTGAATATTTGCTTGCTGCAAAATACTATGACTTAAGTGTACATAAAATAGTCCTGGGTTGTGTTAAGACACCTCTATAGTTGTTTACTATTCTTTGATGTGATTGGAAAGAATTTTTCTTTTTAAAATTCACTTTTGTATTCCTACTTGGAATACACACATCTCTTGTCTCTCAGCCATTGCCAAAGTCCAAAAAACCACAAAGCAAAGGTGGCAAAAAAGAGCGCACTAGCTCTGGAACAACAAGAAAAGCGAAACGTACCAAGTACCCGGAGATCTTGTCAGATGAATCCAGTAGTGAAGAAGATGAAAAGAAGGAAAAGGATGAGTCTTCAGAAGAAAAAGAAAGTGAAGATGAGGTAATGAGTTGTTTTGTTTGTTTTTCAACATTATGTCATTGCTATGGATTGGTAACTCTTGGAATACACGAGTTGGGGAGTAAGTGATGTTTAACTGAAAGAAAAGGAAGCGCATTTGCAATTTATAAAAAGTTTTCTTAAATTCTTAGTGTGTTAAATTTAGAGAATCATTTAGACAAAAGGCAAAAGTTCTGGTTCTTGGGTGTATGTATGCACCTTATAAAACGATTTCCTATGTGTCATTTTGGGGCAGCCAGGATTGCTAATGTAATTGATTATATTTCTTATATCATCTTGTGATGATTTTATTGTAATTTCATAATGCAGTGTTTGATACCTAGGATTTAGCTTTGAGTTCAGTAGGAGTCACTGATCTACCTGGCTGCATTGGTTTGGGATCTTGTTTCCATATTCCTCCTGGGTTTTCTATCTTAAACTCTCTTTTCTGGTTTTGTGTCTTAAATTAAGCAACATAGTAGGCAGCCTTGGAAAGATCCCTGCAATCTCTGAAGTGTCTTAATCTCATTGTATTTTGTGTTTTCTTAAACTTTTTGCATACTAGGCAAGAAGCATCAAATCATGGAATAGTTTGGTTTGGAAGAAACCTTTTAAAAGTCATTTAGTCCAGTCCTTCTGCAATGAGCAGGGACATCAGCTGGATCAGGTTGCCTCATTCAACCTGGCCTGGAATGTTTCCAGGGATGGGTATTCACAGCCGCTCTGGGCAACCTATTTCAGTGTTTCACCACCCTTATTGTAGAAGTTCTTCCTTATTTCTCCTCTAAATCAACCCTCCTTCAGTTTAAAACCATTATGCCATATCAGACCCCTGCAACAAAGTCAAACTGCTGGTGTCCAAGAAAGTTCCTTATGGAAGCAGTGGAATCCTTGGCTGTAATATAAGGACATGGTTTACTTGGGTTACATTCTGTCTGTTGAAATGAAAGTGTGTTAGGCTGATAGCCTGAGCTGTAGGAAATAGTAGCAATCTTGTGTTGAAAGGCATTTAATGTAACTTAACAGTTTGTTTTGTTGGGGTCATTTTGATAGGTGCTGGATTTAATGTAAAAGATGGTTCAAGGAAATTCCTATGAATTTCCTCCATGAAACAACCTTAATTCTTACTGTGCCTTTTTCTTTACTTATTAACGACAAATTGAAGGAGGGCTGAAATATTACAAGTTGACATATGTGTTAATTTCTTCAGGAAAACAGCCTTTCTACTGTGAGGAGAGGAATATCTGTTTCAGAGGAAGTTGTCGTGTTTCTAAGAACTCAGTTATTAAAAAAACACAAAAATCTAAAACCCTTCAAACAAACAAAATTCTTACAAACAAAAAGGCCTAAGAGTAAACTCCATTTGTCTAGGTGGGTCATCTTTGCCTTCTTTCAAAAGGTAGGAGTTAGGTGTCTGCAATGGCTGAGTGGACTGAAGTCTTCAGAAACTGAAGTTTAGGTGCATGGAATAAAAGCTTAATTATTACAAAAGCACTGGTTTGTCATATTAGTTTGAAAACAGGACCTGATGAAATGGAAGATACCTGTTTGTACAGCTTTAAGATTGCAGCATTTTTTAAGAGAGTTAGGTTTATGACAGCTTTTGGTATACTAGAGTTAGAAGGATGTAGGCAGTGTATCTATTTTGCTGCACCAGCTCTGTTGGAAACTTAGGCATGGAGCGTCTGGAGTAAATTGTCCTCGGAGTGGAAAATTTTCCGTTATGGAAAAGAGGTATGGCCTGTTCAAGTAATACTCATTAATTTTCTGATTTTCTTTTTGTAGCCCCCTAGAAAAGCATCTAAAAGAGAAAAATCTAAGAAGACGACTTCTAAAACCAAAAAACCTGTGAAGGGTGCAAATGTCAAGAAGGCAGACAGCAGCACTACTAAGAAAAACCAGAACAGTTCCAGAAAAGGTAAATGCTTTAAATCTTTCATCATGCATTGCCTTGCAGCTTAACAGGCATGCTTATTAGAAAGCAAGCTTTTGCACCTTGTTGTGAAAGAAAATGGAATTTGGTAAATTGTTGGTTTGCTACTTGATGTTTCTTTCCTTGAAACAGTATTTAATGAAAAAAGGTGTTGATTTGGATATATTTCAGGTATTTCCTGCTGTCATGCTGCTGAGCATGTGTATAGTTTTTATTTGCATATAAACTGAAAAGTTCTGCATTTTGCTGGAAGAACCATTGGAGAAGTTCTGTTTGGGCCTCTACAGTGGCTTTATGCAAATCTCATTATTGATCCAGTGGTGTGTATCCCGTGTGTGTCTTTGGTTCAGCAGCTTGATACAAGTTTTTTGTTAGCATAGAAATGATTTTCTCGATGCATCCTTTTGCAATAGGTTTTCTCATATCTCAGGATGTGCATGAAGGTACAGACGCTGAGTTTCTTATTAACTCTGTAAAGATTGCAGTAGTAAGGGCGGGGACAGGGTTGTCTTGCCAAGCACATTTGCCAAAAAGGGCCTGGGCAGGGGCAGATGGTTCTTGCAGACAGCTCACGGAGGCCATTCAGCAATGGGCACTCCTGATAAGGAACACTGACAGTGCTCAGGGCTCTTGCAGCAAGTGTGGGGCCGGTGGCTCAGGGAAGTGACTGGCACCCTGTTCTGCACCTGTGAGCTGGCCTTGGCAGCAGGGTCCAGCTGTGAGCTCCCCGGAGCAAGGCAAGCATGGACATCATGGAGCAAGTCCAGTGGAGGGGCACCAAGATGGGTGAGGGGGCTGGAGCACAGGGTGGAGGAGGGAAGGCAGAGAAAGCTGGGCTCGTTCAGCCTGCAGAAGAGACAGATGAAGGGGGATCATCCTGCAGGCTGCAACTCCCAAATGGAACAGTATGGGGAAGGCAGGGCCAGGCTCTGCTTGGAGGTGCACAGGAAGACTATGGGAGGCAACAAGCGCAAGTTGCCACCAGGGACACTGTAGTTATTTGTCAGGGAAGAAACTTCACCATGTGGGTGGTCACAGAAAAGGGGCCTGGAGGAGCAGTGGCATCCTCATTGGTGGAGATGTTTGGACATCAGCCTGGCAGAGGCCCAAGTAACCAGCTCCATGTTGGCCCTGTTCCAAGTAGCAGCTTTGGTACCAGATGATCTCCAGAGGTCCTTTCCACCCTAAATTCTCTGACACTCTGCGATTGCAGCCAGGTCTGTCACAGTTGTAGTCTGAGTTACTAATGCATTTTATATCCATACTGCAAAAGCACTTCCTTTAATGCTGGCACTGGCGTATGCATGCTACAGCACAAGCATAAGGTCAGATTAGTTACCCTTCTTGTCAGTGCTTTGCTAAAAGGAGCAGGTAAACTCTTGGGCACAGAATTACGCTAGATTTCTTTCATAGCCTTATTTCTCAGCAGAGTAACTGGCCTGTGCTGAACTCAGTGTATTCTAAATGTGGCTGTGTTGTGTGTACACCTTATTTTGTCATTAGCATATATATATATATATACACACACAAATGTTATATATGTGTTTTTATTGTAAGTTACATAATATATCTGTAATTTCTTATTTACTCCTCCTGCATTTCTGTTTCCAGTTTGTTTGCAGTGCAAAAATCAAAATGTTAAATAGGTAATTCTGTAAGGTCATTGTCTAGTTTGTTTGGCATCTGCTTTGAATTTTGTCTTATTGGCAGTAGAGGAACTGAATGGATGTTGCAATCATTCAGTCCATTTCATTTTCTGCTGGAAAAGATTGTAGGAGTGTCCTGTGCCCCTTCACTTAACTCCATTTACGAAGTTCTCCCTATTTGTTCTCTTCTCATGGCGCTTTCTGATAGTAAGTTTGCAAAATTACAAGAGCCTAGTGTGTGACACAGCTAGGGGAAAAAAAAATAGAAACTCCTTTTTAAAGGAATTAATTACTTTTTATTTTCTTAGGGCCATAATACCTGAATTAGAGTTGTTGTAATAAGTCTTTTTCATTAGTTTGATAGATTAAATTAGTCCCATACTTTTTAGAGTTTTTGTTGGTTTGTAAATTGAAGGTTCATCAATAATTACACAAATTCATAAATAAATGTAGTACTGATGGCATTAGCTTTGTTTTTAAATGGATAGTCTAGCAAGATGTCTATTTTAAAGAAAAATATCTGGATTGGACGTTTGTTGAAAGTTCTGATGGCTTCTGTTTTTAAGGAGGAAAACAGACAAACTGAAAACCTATTGCAATCCAATTTGTTCTTCATATTTAGAAAGCGAGTCTGAGGATAGTTCAGATGATGAACCTTTAATTAAAAAACTGAAGAAACCACCCACCGATGAAGAACTGAAGGAAACTGTCAAGAATTTGTTGGCCAATGCAAATTTGGAGGAGGTTACAATGAAACAAATCTGCAAGGAGGTAAGTACAGTTTTGCAGTCTCTTTATAGGTGGTGGATTGTTTGTGAGCTGATTTCGATCACCATTTCAGAAATGGTGGCTTGTACTCTGTTGTTCAGAAACTAAATAGTTTTGCATTGGTTTATTTACTTGCTGATAGCTATAACAATGAGAGCATTAGTCTTTAGATATGCAACATTGATATTAGCATTAAAAGGGAAATATTAAAATTAGCTACCAGGGATGTAGCAGTATTACCTCCAAACCAAGTGCCATGTGTGACAGTGCAAATATCTGACATGTTTAGATGGTGCAGCAGCTTTGCTGCTGTCTGTAGGGGAGGGCTGTCCCCTGTGCTCTGTACATTTCTGCTGCTCACCTTGCACACTCATTCTTGATATGTTCTCTTTGTAAGTCCATTCAGCTGTCTCCTGTCAGCATCTATCAGAATAGTTCTCAGCTGAGTTAGTGAGTTGAATCAATTCAGCAAGAAATCCATTAATTGTCAGAACAGGTGTGAACCATGTGGCCAGAAAAGGGAAAGGTGGAGAAAAGTGATCACTCGCATGTTTGGTTTTCCTGATAATTTGAAGATGTGGTCTTGAGAAAACTAAACCAGAAGTTACGAGAAAACTGTATGTAATGTCTTTTCATATTTATAGTCATTCTAGAAGTCTGAAATTTGGTATGCTGAAATAAAATACTCTGAATTGGTTGTCAGTGCTGGCATCTGGTTTTTGTTTGTTTGGTCCTCTCCCACCCTGTTAACCAGAGTAGTTGTACAATAGCACTCAAATATTTTGACTCTTCTGTTAGTCTCTTGAAAGGATCACAGTTTTACTTATTATCATATACCAAGGTTTATTTATTTTTCATTAATTGTTTGTCTTCCTACACTAATGCAGGGCTATCTGACTACTTAAGAGAGCATTTAAAACAAAAATTGGAGAATTCTTACGTGACAAGCTAGGCATTTTAGTTTGTTGATGTGAAAAATTATAGTACCAGTTTAGTCAGTGAACAAACATAAAAGAGTACATGCATTTAAATATTTATGTGGTCAAAATAAGGACAGGAAAATAAGCTTGTCTCTTCCCCTAATTAACAGAGGGCATTTTGGCACTTGTAGTACTAGAGGCAACATGGTTCTTTGCCCTAATTTCATTTGAGCTTCTTCTACACATACCACCTATTGAATGAAAGTAATTTGATGTTTGTTTTATACTTTTGTTTTGTTTTTACTTTTCTTTAGGTGTATGAAAAATATCCTAGTTATGATTTATCTGACAGAAAAGACTTCATTAAGAAAACAGTCAAAGAGGTAAAGACTTATAATTTAGAAAATACTCTGGGTTGGAGTGGTATTTTTTTCCTTCAGCTTGGCATGGCATCCTCTTACACCAGTTTTAATAGGTTTTTGTATAATATTGAAAATTTAGTGCTCACCTAAACCTAAACCTTTGATATTTGGTTAGGGGTTTTTTCCCCTTATGTTTCCCTCTTTAAAGAATTAATTGTTTCAGATTCTTTTCTTAGCATGCCACTACTGCTATTATTCATTTCTTTGGTAAGCATAACTAGAATTAAGGTTATCATAGTTTTTAATGACTTGTGTTCTGAAAGCTATGAATTTGCTTTAAATTGCAACCTTGGCTACAAGATGCACTCTAATTCAGGCACTGGCCACATGCATTCATAGATAGCAATGCATGAGGTTGTACAAGCTCAGCAGACCTGTCGGGTAAGGCAAAAGAGAATAGACAGATAGATTTTCTCTATACTGGTGGTACAGTTATGATGATGTTGCCTTTAAGTTTGCTGTGCTGAAGATCAGGCCGTATCTACTGTACTTATGATAAAGGGTTTATTGTCCAATCTGAGCTTTGTAATTTGTAAAAAGAAAGTCAGGTTTCATTACTTTTGCTTGCCCTGAAACTAAAAATGGAACCATAGAAGTGAGGTTCACTTACTGTAGTTAATAAAATGACTTCATTTTCTTGTGGCTTCACTCGGAGATGTTGAAACATGGCTATCTAGAATTGCTGTGTCTGTGTCTTGTGCATAGACAAGCAAGATAGCGTCCTGTGTCACTATCAGCAAAGGCATGAGAGATCAGTTTGTCTGCTCTAAGGATGTTTTGGGTTTTTTGTGATAGCAAAAGGAGAGTGTATTTTCATACACTCTCTTTTAATACAAAAGGAGACGTTATATGTGATTGCATTGAGAAAAAGGAGAAAACTAATGCACTTCTCTTTTCAGTTGATTTCATGATCTGATTTGACTGTGGGAAATGAAGATTCCTGGGTTTTTATTTCCATGGATTTGAAGATCTGATAGGCACCAGCAAAAGGAATGTGTCTTACCCTTGTATTTTTAGTCAGATCTAATTCTGCTGATCTAATGTTAAATGTGTTAATGTAAATTGCTTTGTGTGGTTTTTTTTTTTTTGTTGTTAAACAGAACTGCATTTGATGCAATTTTTAGTTGAACATACTGAAGTTTCGTGCATGGCAATAAATGTTCCCTTTTTATAGTTTTGTACATTTCGAATTGCATTGTATAACTAGATTCGTTAGAGCCATCGTAGCTTTTTAGTGTGGATTACCAGCGTACAGGAGATTTTAAAATTGACTAAGATGAAAGCTGTTTATCTACACATATACATGCAGAGACTGGAATATTGCAGTATTGGTTACAGAGATATTTTGAATACATATTAATTCTGAAAATAAGAAGAGTTAGTCACATATTAATCTCTTTTATATTCTGATACATTCTACAGATACAGAATTATTCTGAATCTAGACTACAGTCTTGCATGTGTAGGCACTGAAAGAACTCTCACAGCATGGTAACTAATTGGCATATAGATGTTATTTTTGTACTTTCAGAAGGCTTTTTGTTGTGTATATAAAGTTATTTCAAATTTCTTTTGTGCAAATCAGTTTTTTAATCTTGGTATCTTTGAATTTATGACATGAAATGTCAGTGTTCAGCAGTGAGGCAGTGATAACAAGTGGTGTGCAGAAGTTTCATGAAAAAGAGCTGAGGTTTCATGATGTTTGTCTCATCTTACCTTTAGTACAAAAACTAAACTGTAGGTTTATACCCTTAGTTTTACTTTATACAAAGACTACAGACATTGTTTCAATGTCTTGGATGTAGTAAATAAAATCCCTCCAAAGGCAATAGGAAAATTTCTAGTGTCTCACAAGTGGGTATCCAAGATATACAGCTGGAGGCTTGATAGCTTTGGAAATCCACAGTAGGTTTTCCAAATTGGATAGCACTGATGTGAACATGTGTTTAGCCTCTCTTCTGTGTGGGAAAGCTTTTCTGACCCTGAGCTTCATTGCCTCAGCATGAACAATGGTACTTGTAAGCCTGCAGTCTTTAACTGTGGCTGGCAGCTTTTAGGATCAAAGTGAACTCTGTGTGTAAGTTTGTTTTTCTCCATACACCTTGTTTCTAATATGGTAAGTCCTACACTTAAAATCATGAAACTAAGAGCTGCCCAAGTGTGGGCAGCCATTCACACCATGAGCACAGAATCCCTCTGACTAGTATTGCTGGAAAGACAAAGTGTATTTTTTTGAATTTTATTATTGTACAGTTGAGAAGTAAGGGTTCATAAATTATCTAAATTCCAGAAAAGTTCAGCCAGTTAGACTGTTGATCTTACACACATCTTTTGAATTTCTTTGCGTGTAATCATTTATAATAAGGCTGAATGTAATGGGGATTTTTTGTATTCAATAAATGTCTTTCACAAAAATGTAAATCAGTTTTAATCTAACATTTGCTTACATGTATAGTAAAAAAAAACTATACAGGGATATGGTTGTTTGTCTTTATCTCATCTGCTAGAAAATATTGGCTTCTCTACTTTGGAAGACACTATTGCTGAAATGTATGTCCTTGCACCAGGTTTTTATGTCTTTAAGGTTTGTGTTTTGATTTTTGTGGGTTTTTGTCTTTAACTGTCTCAGCAGAAGGAACACTTTTTAATTGCAATTTAAAACATTGAAAGTTTCCAAGTCTTAAAAGCAGAAAGTTACTTGTATTAAGTTTTGATGTTTTACAAATACTTGAACTGCCTTTTGATTTTTATGTAAATGTACTAGCCAGTTTTAATTATATGGGTCAGGAAGTGTTTTTACAATTCACAACTCCAAAGTATAAATATTTTTTTAATAGTTTAAATTCTAATGAAAACTTAGAAAAGGATAGCATACTTCTATCTATTGTATATATGCATTAGTTGCCACTTTGGAATTGCACAGATGGAATGGAAGTGAACTTGACATTCTTCAAATGCTTTGTTTAAATCTCTTAACAACTCGGTGTTAGTCCTCAACGGAGAAGAGGACTGCCTGTTTCCTTGCTAATCTATACCAGTCTGGCTGCAGCTGATACAGGATTCCAGTTCTTTCTGCAATTGGGAGGAAGGCTACAAGATAGCACTAAAAGGTAAATAAAATATCCTGCTTATCCTGGTGCTGTTGGATTAGAAGCACATCTGATCAAGGATCTAAATTCTGTTCACAGAGTCTCATAAAAGTAGAAATGAGTTAACGGGATAAAAGATAACTGAATAAATTGTTGAGGCATTCCAGATGCTTAAGGTAATGCCCTGACCATTGTACTCTAAATAGTCCTAACCATCTTGATTTGATTACTTCCAGCATAATTCCTACAATCCAGTGTGTTGGTTCCTCTTTTTAGTTAGGCTTTTGGTATTCAGTATTTTGATTGGTGACTAGCAAAACCACAAGTTAGTCTGAATGATTTGCAGGTGTAAACAGCTGTTTTTATGAGCACTTGTGGCAACAGTGTATGGGGCCTGTAGGAGAAGGAAGATGGAGAGGGCTGGGTGGGAATGAGATCAGCAGTTTGGAGTGAAAAGAGGTTACATGCATTTAGAGTTATGTGGTAACCCATGGTATAGTGGTCAGGCATGTATAACCAAGATGGAATTACAAAGACACAGCTGTAAATTCAATCCCACTTTTTTCCAAAAGCTCTAGACTAACAGTAGACTAACAGCCTTCTTGGACCTGAGCAGGCTGTTTATAGAGTCTGTGGTCTTTCTATGTTATTCTGTTACAAGGCACATGACAAAGCAAGATCTAAGAATTGTCTCAGTTTATATTAGCCACTGCTAAACTGTACTTGAAAATAACCCTTTTGGAGGCCAGTACTTAATCTGGAGAAATAAAGCCCCTGGCTGTCAGCATAGTGATTCAAGTAAAGTTTATTATTAGCTCTTCTGTTTCAAAGAGAGGGTGGCTCATGGCCACTTAGGCAGATCTAATTTTCCTGGTTTCCAGATCCAGTAGCTTAAACTGGACTAGATGAAAACATCCCTGAAATTACTTCTAGTGGTTTTTATTTAGGGAGAAGAATGGAAAAATCTGTAAGATACCAGACCACTGTCTAAAAACTTGCAGTAAGAAATTTAGTAAAATCAATATTCTAGTAGCTGAGAAAAGAAACATCTTGAGTGCTGACAAATGTGTTGTTTTTCTTCTGCAAAGAAATGTTTCTCCTGCCTTTGGATTCAGAAGTATTTATTAAAGCAAGATGCTGGAAATTACAAGTCTAAAGGTTTATTCCTGACTTGCAGAAGAAAGGGGCTGACAGGCACTTCATACAGGTTACCAAAAGCAGAAGCAGCATCCTTCTTTCTGGGACAGAGTATCTGCTGAACAGTGGGGGTTGGAACAAGGTTGTCTTGCCAAGCACATTTGCCAAAAAGGGCCTGGGCAGGGGCAGATGGTTCTTGCAGACAGCTCACGGAGGCCATTCAGCAATGGGCACTCCTGATAAGGAACACTGACAGTGCTCAGGGCTCTTGCAGCAAGTGTGGGGCCGGTGGCTCAGGGAAGTGACTGGCACCCTGTTCTGCACCTGTGAGCTGGCCTTGGCAGCAGGGTCCAGCTGTGAGCTCCCCGGAGCAAGGCAAGCATGGACATCATGGAGCAAGTCCAGTGGAGGGGCACCAAGATGGGTGAGGGGGCTGGAGCACAGGGTGGAGGAGGGAAGGCAGAGAAAGCTGGGCTCGTTCAGCCTGCAGAAGAGACAGATGAAGGGGGATCATCCTGCAGGCTGCAACTCCCAAATGGAACAGTATGGGGAAGGCAGGGCCAGGCTCTGCTTGGAGGTGCACAGGAAGACTATGGGAGGCAACAAGCGCAAGTTGCCACCAGGGACACTGTAGTTATTTGTCAGGGAAGAAACTTCACCATGTGGGTGGTCACAGAAAAGGGGCCTGGAGGAGCAGTGGCATCCTCATTGGTGGAGATGTTTGGACATCAGCCTGGCAGAGGCCCAAGTAACCAGCTCCATGTTGGCCCTGTTCCAAGTAGCAGCTTTGGTACCACATGATCTCCAGTTTCTGGGTGTAAGAGGATGGCAGTGTGATGTAACTTGCTCTGCCCTTTCACCTGACCTCCTTCACTGGACTGCACTATTTCACTTATTTCTGATCTAAGTATTAGACAACTGGGCCAAAAGGAAAAACATACTCTATGGTTTTTTTGAAGGACTGTAATTTTTATGGGGAATATTATGTAATGTGCTGATTTGTACATTATGTTAAAAAACAGCATTTAATTTCTATTCTAAAGCTTGTTTTTCTTAGACTGAAGGTATTGCTTTTTCAAAAGCAGCATCGGGTGTAATGAGTTGGCATTTGGAGAACAATCTTCAGGGTACAAACCTTGAACTGCTAATCAAGTATGACAGGGTTAGGGGAAAGCAGTGAATCTTGCCCCCCAGTAATGCTTTCACTAGTTCCGACCTACATGTGGGTGAACTAAACTTGCAAAGCAGTAAGATATTTTTCTCTTAAGGCAGCTGCAGTCAGACTTAGACTAAATGAACACCTGACATCCCTTTCATGAAGAACAATGTAGATAATTGTTACTAGAATTTGTCATAGTTTGTATTTTAAAAATTTTGAGTGTGTAGTCAGGCTTGCACATGCTTATAGCAGTCTGTGCTCGTAGGAACCTTTCAGGACCATGATCCTACAAAGTGTTCAGACTACCCTTATTCCATGAAAAGCATTAAATGGTTATTTGGTAATACTTGAAAATTAAGGGCCATACTTCTCAATTACTACTACTTAAATTTCTTCTGGCCTAAGGAAAATAATCTAACACAAGCTTATGAGTAGCTTTGTAAAACTTGGAGGGAAAAGACAGTATTGTCCAAAGAATAGCTGTTAGGACTTAGAGCTCAGAGAAGGCTGTAAAGCAGCACTTCTGAGGAGGTGTCTGGCTGTAAGAATATACCAAAATGAAATCTTAATATAAAATGTAATAAAAAAGTAGGCTTAGCCACTAGTTACATTTAAAGGAAAAAAAAAAAAGCACAACAGGGGTATCCCATGGATAATTTCCAGTTTTATTCTGCTGCCATAACATAGTCACACAGAAGAACTGAAGTGTAACAGATCATGCTCTGCATTCAAATCTTTTTAATAACATTTCAACAAACCTACTCAAAGAAAACATTCCCCAGTTCTTTATTTGAGGGAATAAATTAAACACAAAATAAAAAATACGTACACGCTTGAAATAAATTTTAACATAGATATTAAAAAAAATTTGGGCAACATTAAAGAATGAAGTCTCAGAACCAGCCTGATGTTCTTACATATTTCAAATGAACGTAAATTAAAATGGAACATACTTATTTACTCCTCAAACTTCAGTGCAGCACAAAACAGTTTTAAGTGCCCTGGCACCAAAACAATATACAAATAATTAGTAGACTAGGCCATTGGTAAATTTACCATTTGTTATCAGTTTTTCTAATGCTGTAAGCGTGCATCATCTAAAGCCAAATGTGATAGTATTTCTTCACGTCCATCTCTCTTCTCTCAAATACAGCATTTATCTAGCTGCAAAGATGTAGCCAACTTGAAAACCCCAAGTACAAATTAACAGAATGACATCAAGCATGTTCATACAAACTTTGGACTGGAGAAATGGATGCTGAGCTTAACTTTCCAGACCATTCCTATCTGAAATGTGACATGTTTGTATCTGTTACTAAGCTAACTGAAGTTTTTAAGCAAGATTAGCTGAAGCAGCCATTGAATATAAGGTTTTGGGCTTGTAGTAATTAGCTTTTTTTCCCACCACCAGAAGCTCCTCTCCTAATAATTTGTCATACATGATAAAGTGGGAAAGAAAGTTGAACTCAAACATACATAGATCTCAATCTTTGCTAGTTATGCCATAAGTTGGCCTGTAATACATGAAATTAACAAAGTGCAAATGACTGCCAAAAGCAAAATTTGATATCCTGATTGTTTTGTATCATCAGAAGGCTTTGTCTTGTTTCTTGCAGCCTTCAAATTGCAATTTAATAATTGAAAGTACTTTAAAACTCTACATACCAGTATTTATGTAGAGGAAAATTATGAACAGTTACACTCTTCCTATTAGTCCATATAACTCAGCTTTAAGAAGCAGAACAGAATATATATCTGAAAAACATCTAGTTATATAAACATCTTCACCTTGTAAATTAGAGATTAAATAAAGGGTTTTAACAATATCATACCTACTCTAAAAACAAAATACTACATATTTGAAAAGAAGAATTGCATTTATTCAGAAGGACCCTGCTGGTGTTCAAAGCCAGGTTGAACAAGGCCTTGAGCAACCTGGTCTAGTGTGAGGTGTCCCTGCCCATGGCAGCGGCATTGGGACTAGATGATTGTTAAGGTCCATTCCAACCCCTTAACATCCTATGATTTTTCTTAAGGTTGCTTGTTGTTTATTTCCAAGGATGCAGCTTTAAGGAAATAAGCACTGTATCATTCTTAGATGAAGGATTAATAAAAGAGAAAATGCATGAGAATGGGGCAGGATAGAGTAAGCGCTTATATTCATTTCAGAAATCATGACATCTACGCAGCCAAGTTACAGAGAAGAGATCTAAAAGTGGACTTTGATTTTTTTTCATTAATACCAATATAGTGGAACAGTATTACAATAGGTATCCCAGTTACATCTCTCTTATTTCTGTTGAAAAATATTTTCCTCTCTGTCCCCTGAAAAAGCTACTAGTCAGATGTCTAGCTGTTACTGAATTACTCTTTCAAGTTGTTTTTAATAATACTTTCATAATAAAAGAAAAAAAAAATAAACTTCAAGTCAAAGTGCAAGCCATCTTGTTTCAGCCCTTCATAAGAATGTTAATATTTTTCCTCATTCATCTTTACTTATGTTTTAATGTATAACTTCAATGAGCTATTAGGAACGTACAGTCCTGCACCCCCCACTGTACAGTCAAATCAGCAGATACTTCCTCTATTCAGCCCAAATGAATCTGGAAGTTTCTTTTCAAAATAATCACAGCAATATGGTATTTTTAAGCAGTCCTGTTTCTACAGAAGCAATGAGCAAATCTAAACTCTTAGCCTATTATTGTAACATATTTCAAAGTTTTTAAAAGTAAGCTAGAAGTTAATTTTTCAAGTTTTGATCAGCTACAATAACCTTTCTATGATTGCACTGTAAACTGTTCCAGCTCTCTTATTTAAAGGAACAAATTTCATATCCCAAAGCCCGCTTAGTGGGTGCTAAGAATATGAAAAAATATTGTAGAAAAGGTTACTGATTGCAGGTGGGAAAAGTGATAATTGAGTTCCTTCCTACATTAATCCTAGATTTTTTTTCTAGGCTATTCAGGCTCTTGGAAGCCCGTTTGAACTCCTGTGAGCATAGTCAACCTGAGAAGCACAGTTAGTGGAAAATTCCCATATCATTACTAACTGCCAGCATTTTTAATGCTATATGTTAACTTAGTCTTGTTTTAATCTGACCTTCTGAAATGAAGGTTCACAATAGCATGACTTGAGCCATACAGAAGAAGACTCTTGACAAAAGTTCTCTTAGTTAAGCTGTGGCCGACGATTCCAATGTCACTCCTGCTAGTAATAGCTTAGCTGGGAAAAAGCCCCCAACAATATGTATCATCAGGGCCTAAAAATGGGGTGGGGGAGAAAGAGGAAAAGGAAAATGAAGACTTTATCTTCAGGTACCATATACTATTCAAGTACCACATAGGAAAAAGGCAGCAATAGGAAACTTGAAGATAGTTTTACCCACAGAAATCAATTAAAAATATATCTATAAACACAAAATTTCAGTACTCAAAATGCTGCTATTTTGCTGGCTTCTCGAACTCCACTCAAGTAAGCTCCTGTAACGGTCTGAGGAAAGTGCCGATTTGTGGCCTGTAGCAAAAAAAAACCAAACAAAAAAACAGAGAAAGAAAAAAAGTCAGTTGTTTCTAAAATTGACAGTACAAAATTTTAGTTTATAAAATCAGTTTTGTTTTCCTTAAGCATATACCTACATTTTTAAAAGCCATGGAAAACTCCTTAGAAAGAACATTAAAGGAAACACCCAAGATTTTTAGCAACTTCAAAACTTGCAAGCAAGTCAGGTACAAAAGCAGCAGTCTGTTCTGCTATCTGCACTTTAGTGGGGAAGGTTAAGTTCTGCCCCAGTACAGAATGCACCCTACACCTCCATCGTGCATTTGTTATTTTACCCCCAAGTGAGGTAACAGACATTTGGACTAAAAATTCATTTTACTCCTGACCTAAAATATTTGGCAGACTTCCCATGCCCAGTAATGATATAAATAGAGGGGGTTCTGTGTCAAGAATCATTAGCATATTTATATAACAATATTTATATACTACCTCTGCATTAATGGTGTTGGGTAGCAAGAGATGATCTTCCATAAGAAACTGCTCCCAGTAACAAAGATATTTACCTCACCAGCAAAAAAAACTTTTCCTTGTATGTCTTCAGCAATCATGTCATAAGCTTCACCGCTGCCCCCGGTTTTCACAAAGCTGTACGCCATCTGCAGCCAAGGGTCATTGCTCCATCGAGTAACAAAAAACTTCACTGGGTCAGGAACTTCCTGCATAACCAAAAGAGAAGTTAAGCACTGCAAAGAAAAGTTCAGAATTGCACAGCTTTTTTTCAAACAGTTTCTAGTAATCTTTGGAGTATTTAGTATTATTAAGACACAGATTAGATCACATTCCAGAATTAAATTCCTTTTTTTTATTACAATACTAACCACAAAAATAATTTTGTTTGCTAGACTCGCCTGATGCCTGAAACTTCACAGCTGCACTATTCTGAATGCAACAGATCTGCATATTGTAATACACCTAGAAGTACACAAGAAAAAAAAATCCCCTTAAAATTCTTGTTCACATGCTCTTGTAAACAAATACAATACTGATATTGTTCAATATGTAGGTATGTATAATGTAAGCAATTTTTGTCTTGGTTAGACATAATGCTTGTTACATCTAGCTTGTTAAATCTCAAAATGAAATTTTCATTCTGGAGATAATTTTATTCCAATGGATCAATAAGATGATTTATCTAAGATCAGAAAATGAGCTGTCTTGAAAACTAGGTTCAGGGAGAAAACAAAAACCAGGAAGTCAGGGTCTGGCTGAGCCGCAACAAGTAATACTGTGTATTCTTTGTCACATTGCAGCATGCAAATTCCACAGATTTCTACCAAAAAGAGCCTGAGTAACACTTGTATGAAGGCTTAGTCAACTTCAGCTGTGTCTGACTTTGGAGGAGCTCATGACAAGTAAACAGAAGCAGCTCTGCTTGCCTCTTGCACAAGGTCTGGTATCGACAGATACATTCCATTCAGGCAGCACATGAGAAACTCAAGCGATCAAAACAAGGACCAGCCAAATATGTAGACAAGCTGTATGGATGTCCCAGAAGTAGCTCTGGTACACCCCTGAAGCTATTTTGTCTTTGAAAAATCCCTCTGCATCATCCTCAGGTGTCTGAAGTTCACAACTAATGTAAACCATGGAGACAGCCATGAAAATCACTCTTCTGGACCAGAGCGGCACTGAAACCAAAGACCCATTTGCTGCATTTTCATGAGATCAAGATACAGGTATGTGAACTTCCACTGCATGAGATTCTAGTAACAATAAAGCCATTACCAAGCATATGTTTCTAGGAATAGTTGAGTTTTCAGATACTGAACTTCTTCAAAGATCATTATTCCTAACATTTGAACCATCAGTAAAACTTGAGAGATAGCTCTGAACACAATCATTCCTGAGGATCTAACTGTTCTAATTAATTGAGGCATTATTGTCTCTAGAGTGGAATGCAAATAACATTGCTAAGTGAGAGTGTTTTGCTTGCCCTAGATTTCCCTGATTTTCCTATTAGTTTTTATCCTAATGATGATCTGGGGGAAGGAAAAAAAGTAGAAATTTTTATCTAGTGTGTTTTTTCGCATTCAGGATGTAGGGCCCTTGCTAGATCATTTTGCCTGTACCTCCATTCCAAGACAGCTGAGAAAGGGTTGTTAGTTAGTAGAAGAAAAATAGATTGGATTGGTTTGGGGGTGTTGTAATTTCAGTTGCCTTGGCATGGCAGAAGGCAGAAATCAAATTAATCTAGCTTAAAGATCTTATCACATGTTAGAAGTGGTGATGACCAGAAAAAACGTGACAGCTAAGTAAGAAGTGTGTTTTGTGTTACTTGCCTAAAGTACTGCTTTTAATTAATTTTGCTTTTTAAAAGCATTTTAAAGGATGATAGTTTCATTTTAAATGATAGCATTTAAAGGATAATAGTTCAAAATAGATCATTCTGTTTTCAGTTACATACTACTGTGCTTCAGAGAGATCTAAGATATTTCAATATACATTTTTCACACAAGAGACCAAATATTGTGATTTTTAGAATGTCTCAAAGAAAATCTATTCCCTGAAACTGATAAAGAAAGAAAAATAGTTTTAAATGTCAAAGGTCTGCCTATACATCATGAAGTACTACATTTGAAAGCTTTATTCTGGTGACAAATTAATTAATCTCATAATAAAAGAGATTCTTACCTGCTCCTTAAACAGCTCTCGGAGTACAGTCATACACTGTTGCAGTACTTGTTGGTCATCTAAATTCTTAATGGTTGTCACAGCATCTCCGGTGACCACGGACATTAAAATGCTTTCTTTGCCCTAAAAACAAGACCTTATTAAGTATTTCATAAACAGTCTATTTTAACTGGTATTGCAAAGATATTTTCAGCTGCAAAGCAACTGTTGTTCTAGAGAAAAGTGGGTTTGATTCCTTGGAACAAAGGGTGCATATTCTACAGTAATTATGCTCAAATTACCACATCTTCTGATGTCTTCTTCACAGATCTGGTACAGTCAGCCCCTTTTACTACTTGCTGAATTCACTGAAAACTTCCTATCTACCTACTTGAAGGCTGTACCCCAAAAAAAATAACATTGATAGTGTTAGTCTTTGTGCACCCTCTTAAGCTTCAGCTTTGTGCCAAGCTTTCACCTTAGCTGTACTCCATTTCCAAAATATGGTGACAGAGAGAGTCTATTTAAATACTAGTTAGATGTGGTTTTGATTAGACCAATACTAGGTTCTTACCAGCAGATTTTGGATCAAGAAATGAAAGGTCACGTCTACTGGTATTTCCTTCCACTTCATGACATCTGCTACCATGCAGAAGTTTTAGAGGTGAAGTGATGAGTAGGGAAGAGCACACAGGTTCGGAGTACCTTTAAAGCACTCTGCCTCTCTTGTTTATGTAAGGCAATAATTCTTCTATTCCTAACTTTGGTAACTAGTAGAGAATAGCTATCAAGCAAATTAAGCCTTATATGTAGGATCTCTGGACAGCACCAGCACACTGAACCTCTTGTAGCATGAGCTTAAGAGTACTGGAGAGAACTCATTTAAGCAAATTTGTATACAGGCACAGATCAGGCAGTAACAAAGCACAAACGTCACAGGATGGTTTCCTTTTGGAGTAAGACATCAGGTTACAAAATGGCCTTTTAATTGCTGCCAAGTAGTAAGCAGCAGCTGTTGTAAAAGTATGAAGAGGTACAACATAAATGTGTAATGTATCTGCTTGGAACTGGGAGGGAAGAGAAACATGATGTCAACCCACTGGTTTCAATTTGCTTTGAAATTCATGAGTATGAAACTGACTCTACAGATCTCAGTTTCATGCAGATCTTGGTGTTTGTCTTTTCTTCTGCTATTCCAAATAGTTCTTCAGACCACTGCAAGCCAGTAAGCATTAGTAAGTCAGCATGATCTTTTTAACTGGATTTTCAGCTGATTTAATAAGGGAACAGTCCTAAACTGGAAGTGACTAGTAGCCTTTTTCCCACATTAGCAGGTTTATAGTAAAGTATTACAGACTTGCCTTCAGTAGAGATTGAGAATGTACTTGCTTGTATATTAGTCTGTATCTGAACAATAGAAAACATTCCCATTTATTACAACAAAATATTGATGAGCTTTATCTAAATAAATAACACTGCTTCCACTGCTTTTAATAGTTGTAGATGTGTGGGCAGAAGAAAAAATTTGTTGTTTAGTAATTATTGCACCTAGATTTCAAACTGAATTTATGAAGGGCCAAGAGAAAACACAGTTGGCATATATCATACCTCTGGATCCATGTCATAGAAGACACTAAAGAGCCCACGTTGGCTAGAATTGGGTGGAACATGACCAAAAAAATCAGCTCCTTGAATTTTACTGTCCCAAAATCTATATGGAAACTGCAAGGCAATCTAGAAAGATATAGGAAAATGGTATTTAAGCATTTCATACCACACAACTCATATCAAGATATGGTATATGTTCTTCTAACATTTTCCTGTTTCCACTCATGTAGATACAGCTCTTCCTATGAGTGGGTCTCAACAGACAATACACAAACCTGTCCTCCAAGGGGGATAGGCAAAGAAAAAAAATGCTGGTGTCATAAATTGCAAATGCACAGAATATCAAATCCACAATGGAAGTAATTGTGTAAAATGCTCAAGAAATTCAGCAGATTTCTTTGAAATAAATAAGCAGCATCCTGTACTTGGAGTTTCTTAATCTTGTCTTTAAATTTCAACATTGTCATAATCCTGTTTCTGGCATTACTTTGTTACTGTTTTGTTCTAAGCACACATCTTACTGGGGAGCTTTTCAGGAGAGGCTGTGTTTTTGTATTGGGAAAGGGTAGGAGATTTTACACTGGTCCAACACACAACTTTCAGTATTCTTCGCAAATACTTTATGAACTTACTAGGTTAAAATGACCTGAAATAAAGACATTATTGGAATTCTGAAAGATCCAAGACCATCATGAATCAAAATTAATAACTAAATATTTAATTTAATCACAAATTCTTCTGTGAACAGTTTCTTTAAAAATACCATTAAGCTGTGAAATCTAAGGAACAGAAATACATGTGATGCCCAATAAGGTTTTGCTCTCCTGGGCTACTGTATACAAGTAAAACATAAATGAATGTTTATGCATCATAAACCCTGACAAATACACTGCAAAAGCAACAGGGACAAAACAGCCAATGTTTCTATAAAAAGAAAATTAAAGGTAATATGAAATCACTTACTTTCTCAATGACTCCCGCTCCCAAACTATTAATGGCTTTAATTTTTTTTTCTGACAGTGGAGGATTAAACTGAATGGCATTTTTCTGAAGAAGGGCCAGTGGTACAGTCACTAGTACCTGAAAGAAATAGCTACAATCACAACGGTACCAAGATCTGAATACAGCACTTAAATCTCACAGCATCCTACTAACTATGGATCATGCTAGTAAGACTTGGATTATGCTAGTAGGATGCAGCATAATAATGCACCAGACATTTCTAGATTAATGTCTCGTTTTAGTTCCCATTAATGGGAAACACATGCCTTACATTCAGGTGAGAACAGATCCCACAGTTCACTGATCTTAAGTCACAGTCTGATGAACTGCTTGTACAGTGGCTAACCATGCTACCAGTACTTCAGTAAATGATAGTCAATGGCTCTCAGATTAACCAAACTGTCTTTTGTTTGAAATGAGAGATAGTCAGTGATTTGGTTTAGTTTGAATTCCTTCAGAGATTCCTTCTCTTTAAAATACACTTAGTGACACCATTGATGTCAATCCAGTCTTTATCAAGTTTACGTATCATTTTAAAAATTACTGAAAGCTAAATTACTCAGCATGAAGAAGACGGGTATACAAAGAATAAGAGAGACTGAGAAATAGGGGTTGTCAAATCCTGGAAATTTTAACATGATACACGTGCTAAGGGGGGTAAAGCTGAGCAGGGAATGGAACTAGAAAACATAAATGTCACTTCAAAGACTGGATAAAAATATATTTGCTTTACTTAGTAGTCCTTAGTTTTTCAAATCAATTCATACTCAAATCTCAAGCATGCTCACCAAAAATTAGGCTCTAGGACACCCAAATAAAGGCCACTAAAATACATGAGTATTCATCTTTGCATGGGGAGAAAATGGACTAAATAGTATTCTGAGAGAAAGAAAATGAAAAAAAGGACATGTACTGTGTGTTCTCTAAAATGCTTAGTCTTGAGGTATACTTGGTACCTTTTGTGTTGTCCACACTGTTCCATCTGCAGTAGTGATCTGCACTTCTTCACCAGAATAGTCAATACTCTGAACCTATGAGACACATTGAGAGAATGTACTACAAAATGTACATATGCAATGCAAATTCCAGCAAGAATAGCTAAAATAGCACTTGTCAGCAATCTAGAAAGTGAATAACACATATTTCCAGAGAAATTCTGAAAGCCAAAAAATAGCCTTCATGAAGCTGAAAAAGAGAAATAATCATGATTCTAACATGTAAGATCATATAATTTAAGTACTGATAGTCCTCAGAGAGAATTTCAGAAATGTTGAAATTGTCCTCTGGTTATTTTTAAAGATAAATTGAAACAGTCACAGGCACAGATTCACCTGGTCCCAAAGAATGCAAATACATGACTGGGTTTTTCAAAGCAATCCAAGACAGGCACTGCATCAGTGTTTTCCAGACTCACTGGGAAATTCAGCCGGATGTCCAGCCCTTCTGCCAACTTATC